GGGAGGAGAGGACAGACTACACTCATGGTGGGAGGTAGTGTGTGTCTGGGAGTGGAGGAGGACAGACTACACTCATGGTGGCAGGTAGTGTGTGTGTGGGGAGGTGGAGGAGGACAGACTACACTCATGGTGGCAGAGTAGTGTGTGTCTGGGAGGGGGAGGAGGAAAGACTACACTCATGGTGGAAGGTAGTGTGTGTCTCTGGGAGGTGGAGGAGGACAGACTACACTCATGGTGCAGAGTAGTGTGTGTCTGGGAGGGAGGGAGAAGACTACACTCATGGTGGGAGGTGTGTGGGAGGAGGAGGACGAGACTACACTCATGGTGGGAGGTAGTGTGTGTGTCTGGGAGGGGAGGAGGACATACTACACCATGGTGGCAGGTGTGTGTGTCTGGGAGGGAGGAGGACAGACTACACTCAGGGTGGGAGGTAGTGTGTGTGTCTGGGAGGGAGGAGGACAGACTACACTCATGGTGGTGGTGTGTGTCTGGGAGGTGGAGGAGGACAGACTACACTCATGGTGGGAGGTAGTGTGTGTGTCTGGGTGGGGGGGACAGACTACACTCATGGTGGCAGGTTGTGTGTGTCTGGGGAGGGTGGAGTGGACAGACTACACTCATGGTGGGAGGTAGTGTGTGTGCTGGGAGGGGGAGGAGGACATACTACACTCATGGTGGGAAGTGGTGTGTGTGTCTGGGAGGGGGAGGACAGACTACACTCATGGTGGGAGGTAGTGTGTGTCTGGGAGGAGGACAGACTACACTCATGGTGGGAGGTGGTGTGTGTCTGGGAGGTGGAGGAGGACAGTACACTCATGGTGGTAGGTAGGGTGTGTCTGGGAGGAGGACAGGGAGCTACACTCATGGTGGTGAGTAGTGTGTGTGTCTGGGAGGAGAGGAGGACAGACTACACTCATGGTGGGAGGTGGTGTGTGTCTGGGAGGGGGAGGACAGACTACACTCATGGGTGACAGGTAGTGTGTGTCTGGGAGGTGGAGGAGGACAGACTACACTCATGGTGGGAGGTAGTGTGTGTCTGGGAGGGGAGGAGGACGGACTACACTCATGCTGGCAGGTAGTGTGTGTCTGGGGAGAGGGAGGAGGACAGACTACACTCATGGTGGGAGGTAGTGTGTGTGCTGGGAGGGGGGAGGACAGACTACACTCATGGTGGCAGGTAGTGTGTGTCTGGGAGGGGAGGAGGACAGACTACACTCATGGTGGGAGGTAGTGTGTGTCTGGGAGGGGAGGAGGACATACTACACTCATGGTGGCAGGTAGTGTTTGTCTGGGGGGTGGAGGAGGATAGACTACACTCATGGTGGGAGAAGTGTGTGTCTGGGCGGGGAGGAGAACAGACTACACTCATGGTGGGACGCAGTGTGTGTCTGGGAGGAGGAGGACAGACTACACTCATGTGGGCAGTGGTGTGTGTCTGGGAGGGAGGAGGGACAGACTACACTCATGGTGGCAGGTAGTGTGTGGGAGGGGGAGGAGGACAGACTACACTCATGGTGCCAGGTGGTGTGTGTGTGTCTGGGGAGGGAGGACAGACTACACTCATGGTGGGAGGTAGTGTGTGTCTGGGAGAAGGGAGGACAGACTACACTCATGGTGGGAGGTAGTGTGTGTGTCTGGGAGGGAGAGGGGACATACTACACTCATGGTGGGAGTAGTGTGTGTCTGGGAGGGAGGAGGACAGACTACACTCATGGTGGGAAGTGCGTGTGTGTCTGGGAGGGAGGGAGGACAGACTACACTCATGGTGGAGTGTAGTGTGTGTGTGTCTGGGAGGGGGAGGAGGACAGACTACACTCATGGTGGGAGGTAGTGTGTGTCTGGGGAGGGAAAGGACAGACTACACTCATGGTGCCAGGTAGTGTGTGTCTGGGGAGGGAGGACAGACTACACTGCAGTGGGAGGTGAGTGTGTGTCTGGGGAGGGGGAGGGGACAGGCTACACTCATGGGGGGAGCTAGTGTGTGTCTGGGAGGTGGAGGAGGACAGACTACACTCATGGTGCCAGGTAGTGTGTGTCTGGGAGGGGAGGAGGACAGATTACACTCATGGTGGGAGGTAGTGTGTGTGTCTGGGAGGGGTGGAGGAGGACATACTACACTCATGGTGCCAGGTAGTGTGTGTCTGGGAGGTGGAGGAGGACATACTACAGTCATGGTGGGAGTAGTGTGTGTCTGGGAGGGGAGGAGGACAGACTACACTCATGGTGCCAGGTAGTGTGTGTCTGGGAGGGAGGAGGACATACTACACTCATGGTGGGAGGTAGTGTGTGTGTCTGGGAGGGGGAGGACAGACTACACTCATGGTGGGGAGTAGTGTGTGTCTGGGAGGTGGAGGAGGACAGACTACACTCATGGTGGCAGGTAGTGTGTGTGTGGGGAGTGGAGGAGGACAGACCCTCATGGTGGCAGGTAGTGTGTGTCTGGGAGGGGGAAGGAGGAAGACTACACTCATGGTGGGAGGTAGTGTGTGTCTGGGAGGTGGAGGGAGGACAGACTACACTCATGGTGGCAGGTAGTGTGTGTCTGGGAGGAGGAGGAAGACTACACTCATGGTGGGAGGTAGTGTGTGTCTGGGAGGAGGGAGGACAGACTACACTCATGGTGGGAGGTAGTGTGTGTCTGGGAGGGGAGGAGGACAGACTACACTCATGGTGGCAGGTGAGTGTGTGTTCTGGGAGGGGGAGGAGGACAGACTACACTCATGGTGGGAGTAGTGTGTGTCTGGGAGGGGAGGAGGACAGACTACACTCATGGTGGCAGGTGGTGTGTGTGTCTGGGAGGTGGAGGGACAGACTACACTCATGGTGGCAGGTAGTGTGTGTCTGGGAGGGAGGGACAGACTACACTCTCATGGTGGGAGTAGTGTGTGTCTGGGAGGAGGAGGGACAGACTACACTCATGGTGGGAGGTGGTGTGTGTCTGGGAGGAGGAGGAAGACTACACTCATGGTGGGGAGTGGTGTGTCTGGGTGGGAGGACAGACTACACTCATGGTGGCAGGTGGTGTGTGTGTCTGGGGAGGGAGGACAGACCACACTCATGGTGGGAGGTAGTGTGTGTCTGGGAGGGGGAGGAGGACAGACTACACTCATGGTGGGAGGTAGTGTGTGTCTGGGAGGGGGAGGAGGACAGACTACACTCATGGTGGGAGGTAGTGTGTGTGTCTGGGAGGTGGAGGAGGACAGACTACACTCATGGTGGTAGGTAGTGTGTGTCTGGGAGGTGGAGGACTAAATTAAGAAAAAATATTTAAATTACACAAACTAGACAGTGATTAGAAGAAACAAACGGAAAAGCCACAATGATAGTACGAGTGTTTGGGTGGGGTGTGAGAGACAAACCTTTTATATTTACTCTGTCAACACGATGGTCAGGGATTTGTGTTAGGTCAGTGACAAGCTGGGCGAGGTCATTCGTTTCTGAAAGATTTCTACATTGATTCCGGCTTCGTGTGTAAAAAAAAATATGGTTTTACACACACTACTACCATAAGTCACTGTACTGCCTTAAGTCACTCAACTACCATAAGTCATTGTACTGCAAAGGGCTACTACTACCATGAGTCACTGTACTACCATGAGTCAATGCACTTCCATGACTCACTGTACTACCATAAGTCACTATACTACAATAATTCACTGTTCTACCATAATTCACTGTACTACCATACTGTAAGTTACAGTACTACCATAAGTCATTGCACTACCATGAGTCACTACACGACAATAAGTCACTGTACTACCATGAGTCACTGTACTACCATAAGTCAATGTAAGGCCGTGAGCCATTGTACTACCATGAGTCACTCTACTGCCATAAGTCACTACCACCATGAGTCACTATATTACCATGATTAACTGTACTACCTTGAGTCACTGTAGTACCATAAGGCACTCTACTACCATGAGTCACTGTACTAACATAGGTCACTCTACTACCATGAGTCACTGTACTAACATAGGTCACTCTACTACCATGAGTCACTGTACTACCATAAGGCATTCTACTCCCATGAGTCACTGTACTACCATAAGGTTACTACCATGAGTCACTGTACTGCATAAGAACTCTACTACCATGAGTCACTGTACTACCATGATTCAACATAAAACCATGATTCACTATATTACCACGAGTCACTCTTCTACCATAAGTCACTATAAAACCATCAGACACTTTACTACCATAAGTCACTGTACTTCCATAAATCACTGTATTACCATAATCCTCTGTACTATCATAAATCACTATACTACCATAAGACACTGTACTACCATGAGTCATTGCACTACCATAAGTCATTGTACTACCATAAGTCACTATAAAACCATCAGTCACTTTAGTACCATAAGTCACTGTACTACAATAAGTCACTATAAAACCATCAGTCACTTTACTACCATAAGTCACTGTACTACCATAAGTCACTATAAAACCATCAGTCACTTTACTACCATAAGTCACTGTACTACCATAAGTCACTATAAAACCATCAGTCACTTTACTACCATAAGTCACTCTACTAACAGATCACTAAAACCATCAGTCACTTTACTACCATAAGTCACTGTACTACCATAAGTCACTATAAAACCATCAGTCACTTTACTACCATAAGTCACTCTGCAAGTCACTATTACCAAGAATCACTAAATTACCAAGAGTCAGTGTACTACCATGGCAGCCATGGTGAGGAGTATGATGAGGTAAATAGTGGCAGGAGTGTGAGCCATGGTGAGGCGTGTGAGCCATGGTGAGGAGTGTGAGCCATGGTGAGGAGTGTGAGCCATGGTGGGAGTATGATGGGGTAAATAGTGTGAGCCATGGTGAGGAGTGTGAGCCATGGTGAGGTGTGAGCCATGGGGGTGTAGACCATGGTGGGGGTGTGAGCCATGGTGAGGGGTGTGAGCCATGGTGAGGGAGTGTGAGCCATGGTGAGGTGTGATGAGGTGTGGGAGTGTGAGGCATGGTGAGGTGTGAGCCATGGTGAGATGTGAGCCATGGGTGGGAGTGGAGCCATGGTGAGGTGTGAGCCATGGTGAGGATGTGAGTAATAAGTGTGAGCCATGGTGAGGAGTGTGAGCCATGGTGAGGTGTGAGCCATGGTGAGGAGTATGAGCCATGGGGAGTGGAGCCATGGTGAGGAGTGTGAGCCATGGTGGGAGTGTGAGCCATGGTGAGGAGTGTGAGCCATGGTGAGGAGTGTGAGCCATGGTGAGGAGTATGAGCCATGGTGAGGTGGAGCCATGGTGAGGAGTGTGAGCCATGGTGAGGTGTGAGCCATAGTGAGGAGTGTGAGCCATGGTGAGGTGTGATGAGGTATAAGTGTGAGCCATGGTGAGGTGTGAGCCATGGTGAGATGTGAGCCATGGTGAGTGTGAGCCATGGTGAGGTGTGAGCCATGGTGGGAGTGTGAGCCATGGTGAGGTGTGAGCCATGGTGGGGTGTGAGCCATGGTGAGAGTGTGATGGGGTGTGTGAGCCATGGTGAGGTGTGGGCCATGGTGGTGTGAGCCATCGTGGGGAGTGTGAGCCATGGTGGGCGTGTGAGCCATGGTGAGGTGTGGGGTGAGGGGTGTGAGCCATGGTGAGGTGTGAGCCATGGTGAGGAGTGTGAGCCATCGTGAGGTGTGAGCCATGGTGAGTGGGGTGTAAGTGTGTGGAGACATGGTGAGGTGTGAGCCATGGTGAGATGTGAGCCATGGTGAGATGTGAGCCATGGTGAGATGTGAGGCCATGGTGAGTGAGTGTGAGAGCCATGGTGAGAATGTGAGCCATGGTGAGGAGTGTGAGCCATGGTGGGCGTGTGAGCCATGGTGGGGCGTGTGAGTGAGGTGTAAGTGTGAGCCATGGTGAGGAGTGTGATGGGAGTAAGTGTGAGCCATGGTGTGGGTGTGAGCCATGGTGAAGTGTGAGCCATCGTGAGGAGTGTGAGCCATGGTGAGGAGTGTGATGGGGTAGGTGAGACATGGTGAGGAGTGTGAGCCATGGTGAGAATGTGAGCCATGGTGAGGAATGTGTGTGAGCCATGGTGAGGAATGTGAGCCATGGTGAGGTGTGAGCCATGGTGAGGAATGTGAGCCATGGTGAGGAATGTGAGCCATGGTGAGGAGGTTGAGCCATGGTGAGGAGTGTGATGGGGTAATAAGTGTGAGACATGGTACAAAAAACCTTAACTTATAAAGGCTGAAATCCGTGAGAAAATTAGGGATCCAAAAGAACTAAATATTTAGTGATGTTTTTGCTAAGAGTCATGATGAACCATTGTTTGTAGGAGAAAAGTATAAAACATTGGCTGTATTTACATATTTCCAACAAGATATACACAGCAGCAGCCAACCTTGTGGACGGAGGTGACCGGAAGTCTATCAGTGGCAGTGGAAGGGATGAAAAACAAGTTGGGGACGGATAGGTGGTTTATTATTTCACTTGAGGAATAAGTAAAGGATTCGGGGAAATTTTGTTAGGATTTAGTGATAATTGGCTGGCTGTAACTTGATTAATATTCCTCGTTTGGTTCATTGTTGAAACGTGTATCCACTTTATATAATATGAAACTGATAAATGTCTTTCGTATGAAGTTCACTTTTATATGAATAATTTGAAATTAACTGTGGAGATTTTGTTTATTTCTGGCACCTGGGAACTGAACAAATTTCAAGCGTGTGTTTGCTGCTCGCCTTCACCACTTTTTACACCGGGAATTAACACGGTGACTACACACACACACAAGAGCTCTGCCAGTTCAATCAGATCAATGACTTTGCACGCCAGGCTCAGTGATTCTGTTTACTAACACTGAGCATTATTTTCATTCTTCCTGTGACGCCGTACAGGGAACATGTAAGCTAGACACTGAAACACTGGCCAATGTTGTGTTCGTCTTTTTCTTCTCCTGATATAGAACTTTTTATTAAAGGAAGGGATTATATTCTGGGACGTGTGTGGTGGAGATTTTGGTGGGAGGCGGGGAGTGGAGGCGGGGTGGGAGGCAGAGAGTGGAGGCGGGAGGTAGTAGGGGTGGCAGGGTGGAGACCGGGAAGGGATGCCAGATGGGAGGGGAGAAAGACATATTTCAGAGTGCCAAGGTTTGCCTCATCTTGTTGATAGTGTTGTTCTGGACAGGAAACAAAATTTAGGATTATATGCGCAGGCATTTGTGGATGCTATCTTACAGACTCCAAATTCTCACCTTTGCTGTGGTTGGTTTCATAATAAAGAAGGGTTGGGACAGGGACCAGTATTAACTATGACTTATCCACCGAAACAGTAGTAACTATGATTTATCCACCGAAAAACAGTATTAACTATGATTTATCCACCGAAAAACAGTATTAACTATGATTTATCCATCGAAATACAATATTAATTATGATTTATCCATCGAAATACAGTATTCACGACAGTTCATTCGCCCCTGAAAGGGCTGATCAATTTTGGGCGGTAAAAATATCTTAGAAACAAAATTCGGTACAAAATATTATTCCATCTGCGTGAGTTTGGGGAACATTTTGGCTGGCGAGTGAGGCGAGACAGACATAATATTTTCAGACAAGGAAAGCCCGTGTCTGATGAAAACTCAAGCGAATGGAAGGTTGTGAGGAGGGGGACGACCAAACTGGTGGTGAAAAAAACCACCAAGGATAAGACAACAGCAGCTAAGTGTACCAACCCTTTCAGTCCCTTAATAGACGAATTGAACGTTAGCATAGTCAGGGACAAGGCTGACAAGGAAGTTACGAAAACCTTAATTGCTGGCGATTCCCAGGTACTGTACCAGGACAGAGCTTTTTGTGGTAAAAATAAAAATAGGATGAGGGTGTGTTTGCCAGGAGCTGGGGTGGGGGATATAGTTGACAGGATGGACAATATCTTATCTGGTAATGGGAACAAACCCATTATCTGCCTTAGTGCAGGAGGCAATGATATTAGCCGGTGTATGAGTGAGGAGCTTCTTGATAAGTTCAAGACAGCTATAGAGTGTATTAGGTCGAAGGTGTCCTGCCTAGAAGGAGAGTTGGCAATGAATGGCTGTCAAGGGCAGTTGGTGTCAACGGCCGTCTTGACGGATATTGCAAGTCAATATCAGTCCCATTCATTGACAACTGAGACAACTTCTACGGCAGAAGGGACCTTTATGCTAGGGATGGGGTGCATCTGTCTAGGGATGGGTGGCAACCCTGGCTGGTTCTCTCGAGAGGGAAGTTCAAAAGATGTCGAAGTCTTTAAACTGCTAAGAGAACTTATGAATACGGGGATGGAGGAGACTGCAGTGGGAGTGGGCAAACAAAGTGAAAGGTTACAGGGAAATAGTGTTAGGAATGATGACAAAAATAAATTAGGCAGGGAGTTAAAACATAAACACGACAAAGAGAGGACTCAGAACACGACTAACTTAAATGTCTACTATGCAAACAGTAAAAGTATGAGAAACAAAATGGATGATATTAGGGCCTTGGTATGTACCGAAAAAATCGATATAGTAGCATTCACCGAAACATGGATAAACTTACACTCACGTGAGTTACCGGTTGAATATCAAATTGCAGGTTACAAATTATTCCATACCGATAGGCAGATTAGGAAAGGAGGCGGAGTATAGCAATTTATGTAAGGAATAATCTGAAGTGTGAAATAAATAAGGAAATAAAAATGGAACGGAATACTGAAACAATCTGGATAGAATTAATCGATGGTAGGGAAAAATTAATCACGGGAGTAATATATAGACCTCCTAATCTTGATAGAGTTAATGAGCGACTTATCCGGGATGAAATGCGCAGGGCTTCCATACATAGCAAAGTCTGTATAGTAGGCGACTTTAACTTTAGCAAAATAGATTGGATTGACCTTACGGGTAACTCAGAATCAGAGGACTTTCTTGAAACAATCCAAGACTGTTTCCTAAGCCAACATATAACCGAACCCACCAGGGGAAATAATATACCCGATTTAGTTCTTTCAAACAGAGAAAAACTCATTAGTAATGTCGAGGTAGGGAACGAACTTGCAAACAGCGATCACAAAGAAGTTACATTCCAGCTAGAATTCCAGGGCAGCCGCAAGGAAAATTCCACTAAAGTCCCAGATTTCAGAAGGGCAAACTTTGATAGTGTGAAGTGGCAGCTGAGAGAAGGGGTATCACGCTTGGGGGTGAACTACATGACCTCACATGAGGTGACCTCTCACAATGTACCCACAGAGGGCGACCTCGCCTTACCGGGAGACCTGTTAACGAGATCTGAGGTTGCCGAGTTCCACAACAATTTAAATAAAGAGTTACTTAATACATAAAGGCAGAACATACCATACAGAAAACTCACATCAAACACCAATGAACTTAAATGGATAAATAATTATTTAATGAATATTATTGGACAAAGGAAGGCTAGAGGTAGGAAAATAAATCGTGGTGAAGTTTATCTCCGAGATTATTATAAGGTATTGGCCGTTAGGGTTAAGACCGAGATAAGAAAAGCAAAGAGAAATAATGAACTGATGATAGCAAGGGAGGCTAAGTCAAACCCCAAGGGATTCTATCAAATGTATCAAACTAAAACAAGAGAAAATATTGGACCAATACGGTCAGATACCGGCGAGCTAACTGATAACGACGGAGAAATGAGCAATAATCTGAATAAATATTTTTCAACAGATTTCACCACCGAAAATTTAAACATGATACCTGAGGCACCGACTCTATACAGAGATAGTGAAGAAAATAAATTAAGCGAGTTTGTAGTGATTAGTAACGATGTTAGTAAGCAAATAGACAAACCAAAGCCTAATAAGTCACCAGGTCCCAATGAGATATTTGCCAGAGTATTAAAGGAATGTAAGGAAGAGTTTAGTATGCCCTTAGCAAAGTTGTTTAACATGTCCTTAAAAACAGGTGTCGTACCAGAATCCTGGAGGGTAGCGAATGTAATACCGATTTTGAAGAAGGGCCAACATGGCTTCACAAGTGGGCGGTCATTATCTAACTAATCTATTAACATTCTTTTCATTTGTTTTCGAATCAGTGGACGAGGGGCACAATTATGATGTGGTATATCTCGACTTTAGGGAAGCCTTCGACAGAGTCCCCCACAAAAGACCAATAAAAAAAGTAGAGGCTCATGGCATTAAAGGAGATATTCTAAAATGGATTAGGGCGTGGTTACAGGACAGAAGACAGCGAGTGAGCATTAACGGCACTAAATCCCACTGCAGCAACGTCAGTAGTGGAGTTCACCCAGGCTCAGTACTCTTCCCATTATTATTTATTATATACATAAACGTCATAGATATCGGCGTAGACAGCAACAGAAGTAAATTTGCTGATGACACTAAAATAGGGCGTGTAATTAAATCTGACGATGACTCCGCAAAACTACAGGACGATCTAAACAAATTTTTCGAATGGTCTGAAAAATATCAGATGAGATTCAATATGGACAAATGTAAAGTTCTCAGAAAAGGAGATGTAAACATGGACACCAGATACCAGATGAACAACGATGTTATTGAGAAATCTGACTGTGAGAAAGATTTAGGAATAATGATAAGTAGGAATCTTAAGCCAAGTAAACAATGTGTATATGCTCGAAACAAGGCTAATAGGGTGGTTGGGTTCATACAAAGGAGTGTTAGTTACAAGACTAGAGAGGTCATCTTAAAACTATATCTTGCACTTGTGAGACCCTACTTGGATTACGCAGTTCACTTCTGGTCACCGTATTACAGAATGGATATAGAATCCTTGGAAAGAATTCAGAGGAGAATGACAAGACTAATCCCGGGCATTAGCAACCTTGAGTGCAGAGACAAGTTAAAGCTTCTTAATTTACACTCCCTCGAGAGACGTAGAGTGAGGGGCGATATGATCGAGGTGTATAAATGGAAGTCCGGGCTGAACAAAAGAGACATTACAAAGGTACTCAAACTATACAACCAGGAGCGAAGTCGTAACAATGGTTTTCAATTAGACAAATTTAGATTTAGGCGCGAAATATGTAAACACTGGTTTGGAAATAGAGTAGTGGATGAGTGGAATAATTTACCAATTATCATCATTAACTCGAATATGCTGGATAACTTCAAACATAGGTTGAATGGATATATG